GTGATAGTGGGCATCTTTGTCTGGTCTCTATTTGCATGGAAAACGCGTTTAGTCTCTCTCCATTGAAAAGGATTTTGGCTCTTGCTTTTGCATATATACTTTTCACTATGTTGAGGAAATTTCCTTTTATTCCTATTTAACTGAGTGTTTTAATCAGGAAGGGGTGTTGGATTTTGTCAAATGCCTTTCTGCAGCAATTACTAAGATCATATAATTCTTGTTATTTGCTTTGTTAATGCCATGAATTACATTGATTGCTTTTCTTATGTTGAATCACCCTTGTGTACCTGTTATGAATCCGCTTAGTCATGATCATTTTCTTGATATTCTTTTGAATTATATTAGCTAGGATTTTATTAAGGATTTTTACATCTATGTTCATGAGATATTTTCTTTTTTTTTTGTAGTATTTTTGCCTAGTTTTGGTAAAAAGGGTTATGTTTGCTTCATAGAATGTCTCTGGAAGTGTTCCTCCTTTTTCTGTTTTTTTAAAATGATTTAAGTAGAACTGGTGATAAATCTTCTTTAAATATTTGGTAAATTCAGTCTTGAAGCCATCTGGTCCTGGACTTTTTTTGTGAAGATGTCTTTTTACGACGTGTTCAATTTCTTCTTTTATGATGAATCTGTCCAAAAGTTCTGCATCTGTCCATGTCAATCTGGGTAGGGCATGAGGTTTCAAATTTATCAGAGTATAGCTTTTCACAATGTTCTGATATAATAAATTTTATTTCCTCTGGTTATATTGTGATCTTACTTCTGTAATTTTTAATTGAGTTATTTAAGTCTTTTTTGGTTAAGTTTGACGGTAGGTAATACATTTTATTGACACTTTCAAAAAATCAGCTCCTGATTTTACTAATGGTTTCAACCATTTTTCTGTTTTCTATTCATTGATTTCAGCTCTTGTTATAATGTCCTTTCTTCTAGAGGCTGTGAGGTTACACTGTTGTGCTTTTTCTATTTGATGAAGGTATTGAGTTACATCATGAATTTTGCCTCTTTCTTTGTTTCTTATGTGTTCCTGATCTATTGTGCCTTTAATCATTATGTAATGCCCTTCCTTATCTTTTATGGTTGCATTCATTCTCAAGTCTATTTTATCAGAATTGCCAATCCTGCTTTTTTTGGATGTCATTTGTTTGGCAATTTTTTTCCTAGCCTTTGATTTTGAATCTACCTTTCTCTTCATTTCTTATATTTCTCTCTTATAGATAGCATATTGATGGATTTAGGTTTTTTATTCATTCTGCTACTCTTTGTCTTGATTGGTGCATTCAGTCCATTCACATTAAGTGTGATTATTGACAGGCCAGGTTTTATATCATTGTTATTTTGCTATTTCTTATTGCTATGATCCATCCGATTTCCTTTGATATCTCTCTGTGAAGGACTTCCCTTAAGAGTTTTTGTAAATTTTGTTTTGTTTTTATAAATTCCTTAAGTTCTTTCTTTTTGCAGAAGAATGTGATTTCTTCCTGTTTGATAGATTGTTTTGCTGGGTACAGGATTCTTTGGCAATTGTTGTCTTTCAAATGTCTGTATATGCCATCCCATTGTCTTCTTGCTAGCATTGTTTCTGCTGGAAAAAAATCAGAACTTAATTACTTTTGCTTCATAGGTAACTTTATGGTTTTTTCTCATGATGTTTTTAGTATTTTATCCTTATCTTCTTTCCATTTTGGAGAATTTGTCTATGATGTGTCTTGATATTTCTCTTATTGGTGTTCTCTGAGCTTCCTGAATGTGGATTTCCTCATTCTTCATAATATTGAGAATTTTTTTCTAGTACTTCTTCCACAATTTTCTCAGTGATTTTTCTCTCTCTCTCTCTCTCGCTCTCTGTGTGTTCCTTTTAATGTCGTTCACATGATTCTAATGTTTTCTTAATTTTCTTTGTTTCATCTCTGATTTTTCTTCTAGTATGTTTCTCTTGAAGTTTTTATCTTCCAGTTCACTTACTTTCTGCTCCTTCTCTTCTGTTCTACTTTTTCATCCTCCCAGCATGTTGGACACTTCTATCATTTCTGTCTTAATATTCTTAATCTCATGTTCATGAAATTCTGTTCTTTCCAGTACTGTGTTGTATGTACCATCTCTATCTTGTGATGATTTTTTGAAGTTCTTGTACCTCTTTATCCATAGTCTCAATTCTCTATTTCGTCTTTTGCATTTTCTTCCATAGTTGTTCAAGTTCCTCCTCATCAATATATATTTTTCTGGCTCTGTATCTCTGGAGTGTTTGTTTTCTCAGTGGTTTCCATTGTTTCTTCTATCATTTGCATCTTCTTCCATAGCTGTTCAAATAACTCCTCATCAATATATTTCTTCTGGTTCTCTACCTCTAGGGTAGTCCCTTTATTTATGGCTTTCTTTGTTTCACCCATCATTTGTACTTTCATTCATAGCAGTTTGAATGTCTCCGTATCAACATACATCAGCTGTCCTCTTGACTCAGTAGGATTCACTGAATCTGCATATTCTCTTTTTTAGAGAGAAGGTTTAATTTGTTTTTCCACAGTGTTTGAAGCTGCCTGCTGCTTTCTCAACATTTCATGATTTTTTTTTTAATGAATGTTAGGTCCTTTCTATTATGTCAGCATAAGTTATCAGTAATTCTTATATTAATGATGTTATTAATTAGTTGCCAGGTTAAAATGTTCACCCTATGGAATATTTCACTCTACAAAAAGTTTCTTCTGGGAAAATTTGCCTTTCTGAAAATCCTTCAGGTTCTCTCTGTTCTGTACAGCAGCCCTCCAGGAATCTCTACTTAAAGTGGTCCCCTTTCCCAATCTCTATTGTCCTCCTTCATATATGGAGTGGCCATGTGGTATGAGACCATGTTCTCCATTCAAGCAGTTTATGTCTAGGATTTCAAATCAACTTTCTTTTTAGCATCTCAATGTGCCAGTTTAGAAAGCTGAGAAAATCTTTCACCTGCTTGTGGTTCTGGTTCCAAATTCTGTTGTCTCTGGAGTGGCCTGGGATCAGGGATGCCAACTTAAGCAGTTTGTATGCAGCTGGCATGGTGGGGAGGTCTTAAGTTAGCCCTTTCTCTTGCAGAAAGTTAAGAAAGTTTTTCCCCTGCTTGTGGCTCTGTGTACCAATGGAAAAAATATTGATGTACTCAGAAACTTAATCTTTAGAAGGTCCATTCATCAATATTATCCTCTTCTGGTTGTGCATTTCTGGCACTATTTGTCAGCCTATTTATAATAGAGTAGGGTTTGTATACTATCGCATGTATTACCAAAAAAGCACATCTTTAACCATTAACGGTAATAAAAATAATGCCATGAGTTAGCTTTAGACTTGTTTTAATTTTTGTCAACTTCAATTTGAACTTGTACATGAGCCATTGATGGTTTATTTCTCAGTCAGAACCTGGCCTCGTTTTGACTCCTGTTATTGAGCATCCCCAAAGATTTCTAACTCAGATATAGTCAACCTGATTTCTATGCAGTCCATGTAAAATCATCATTTATGGGGTTGTTGTTTGGTTTTTTTTTTAAAGTTATTTGCTATGAATAAATCATTGAACAAAAAAAATATTCTTATATTATAGCCCTCATTTTTATTATCAAGTCTGTATTTTCCAGCTATCCTTGCTTCTTCATTGTTTCAGTTTTATTTTTTATTTAACAAAACTGCTGGGAGCATTTGATTTGACTGGCTATGTTAGATATTTTGTCATGTAGCCTGAAGAAGCATATTGTCTTCCGTTCTTAAAGCTCTCTCTTTTTGCCTTTACTTTCCTTTTTATTCATTCTCTTTTCCTCTTTTTTTTCCCTATATTTTAATTTTTATTCTGCTAATAACTCCTGTTTTGTTCTCTTTAGCCACAGTTTCATTTAAAAAATAATTGTTACTGATTTTCTCCCTTCCCTTCAATTTTCAGTGTGTCTTCCCTCATGTCAATTTTTCTGCTTTGGCTGGCCTAAGGGAAAAAATGCACTTTAATTTTATAAAAATGGGGAAAATAAGCTAAATTTAAAGTATAAATAAAATTATTCAAAGATTACCTAGTATTGATTAAAAGTTTTATATTCTCTTCAATTATTGTTGTTGTTAGGTGCCATTGCATCAAGAATGAGTCAAAATGAACCCATGAACAATAGATCTGACCCTTGTCCTGTCTTATGGCAAACTCACAATCTCTGACACACTCAAACCCATTCCACCTTCTTAAAGGTCTTCCTTCCCTAGCTGCAAAAGATCAAATACTGTAGCCTTCAATATGTATTGCACCTCAACTTCAAGAAAATAATAATTTCATTGTTGAATCAATGTTGTTGTTGTTGCTGTTATGTGCTATTCAGTTTTCTGTGACTCACAGTGATCCTATGTACAATATTTCTGAACCCTACCCTGTCCAGAGCCAATCTCATCATCCCCGACAGATCTAATCCTATTTCTCCAGTCATGGAGTCAATCCATCTCATCCTGGAACTTCCTCTTCTGTGCTGTCCCCTCCACCATTCAAAGCATAACGTCCTTCTCCAAGGACTGATGCCTCCTGGCCATGTGTCCAAAATATGTGAGATGGAACTTCAAAATCCTTGATTACAGGGAGCAGCTTAATTTCACCCTTTCCAGAAGAGACCTGTTTGTTCTCCTGGCAGCCCACAGGATATTTAGCATTCTTCTCTAGCACCACACTCAAAAGCATCGTTTCTTCTTCTATCACCCCTAATCATTATCTTCTGTCATCCTTAGTCACTGTCAATTGCTAAGACCATGGCCTAGATCAGGAATACCTTAGTCTCTAGACTTACATTGTTGCTCTTCAGTACTCTAGAGAGGTTCCTGACAGCAGACTTTATCTATGCAATTTGTCTTTTGATTTCCTGACTGTTGGTGTCAAGAGTGTTAATTGTGCTCTCTAAGGAAGACGCGGTAGCTCTTGCAGGGTTGTGGTGTACTCCCACTCCTGCTCCTGACTCACCGCTGTTCGCTCTCTCCGGGGAACAAGTCGGTCAGGAAGCCGCGCCGCAGCCATGGCTTTTAAGGACACCGGAAAGACGCCTGTGGAACCGGAGGTGGCCATTCACCGAATTAGGATTACCCTAACCAGCCGCAACGTAAAATCCCTGGAGAAGGTGTGTGCCGACTTGATCAGAGGCGCAAAGGAGAAGAACCTGAAGGTGAAGGGACCGGTCAGGATGCCTACCAAGACTCTGAGAATCACTTCAAGGAAGACTCCTTGTGGGGAAGGTTCCAAGACCTGGGATCGTTTCCAGATGAGGATCCACAAGCAACTCATTGACTTACACAGTCCTTCTGAGATTGTCAAGCAGATCACTTCCATCAGCATTGAGCCTGGAGTAAAGGTTGAAGTCACCATTGCTGATGCCTAAATCAACTATTTTAATAAATTGACTATCCGTTGGTTAAAAAAAAAAAAAAGAGTGTTAATTGTGGAACCATACAAGCTGAAGCTGTTAACAATCTCATCCTCTTCTCCATCGATCATCGAACTGTCAGTTGTTCCACTGCTGAGAATCTTGGTTTCCTTGACATTGAGCTGCAATCCATATTGAGGATTATAGTCCTTGACCTTCTGCAGCAAATGCCTCATGTCTGCCTCAGTTTCAACAGCCAAGTTGTGTCATCTGTATAAGGCAGGTTGTTTATAAGTTTTCTTCTGATCCTAACATCATGTTTCCCCTCATAAAGTTCAGCCTCCTGAATGATCTGTTTCACATATAGATTGAAAAGGTATGAAGATAGGATGCATACCTCACAAACTTCCTAAGTATGAACCATGCAGTGTTTCCCTACTCTGTTCTGACTACTGCGTGTTGGTAAAAGTATAGATTTCACTTGAGCACAACTAAATGAATACACACTCTTCTTAAGGTTAGTCACAATTTGTGATCCACACAGTCAAATGTCTTTGCATAGTCAATGAAACACAGATAGACACTCCTCTGGCATTCTGCTTTCAGCCAAGATCTATCTAACATTGGCTATGACGTTTCTACTGCCACAGCCTCTTTTAAACCCAGCTTGCAAATCTGGCAGTTTGATGATGTACTATTTCAATTTTTTTAAATAATCTTCAACACAATGTTGCTTGTGTTTTATATTAGTGATTTGTTCAATAATTTCCACATACTGTCAGGTCACCTTTTTTTTGAATGGTAATAAATATGGATTTCTTTCAATCACTTGACCAGGTGGTTGTCCTCCTGATTTTTTGGCATAACCTGGTGAGTGTGTCCAGGGCAGCATCTGTTTGTTGAAATATATGAATTAATAACCCATCAATGCTAGGGTCTTATTTTTTGCCAATTTCTTCTGAACAGATTGAACTTCCTCCTTTATCACCATTGTCTCTTGACCATATGTAATTTCTTGAAATTTTTCCATGTCAACCAATTC